GCTCATGGCGCCCGTAGAACGCCATGTCGAACATCGAGCAAGCGCCCCTTGCCGCTACCCCAGTCGAAGCACCGGCAGCTACGCCCGTCGAGGCGCCGGCCGCCGCTGCTGTGCCCACCCCTGCCGAGACCACGGTGGAGTTCGTGGCCAAGCCCGGTGAAGCGGCCGTCAAGCCCGAGTTTCGCCGCGTCTTGCCGCCCAAGGCGTACGTGTGCTAGACTCGCATGCATGTAGCTACATACCAAACGGTTTCTAGCGAAGGCGAGGACGGCGAGCGCGAGCGAGGCACGTTCAAGAAGCGTCCGCGCGACGCCGCCGACGATCCGTCGACGATGTTGTGCCGTGCGGTGGCCGCAGGCGAGGGCTGCGCGTACAGCGACTCGTGCAAGTTTAGCCACGACGTCGCTGACTACATGAAGCGCCGGCCCAAGGACTTTGAGGGTCCGTGCCCGGTGTACACGGCGCTCGGCTACTGCCGGTACGGCCTCAACTGCCGCTACGGTCTCACGCACGTCGACGCGAACGGCGTGAACCTCGGGACGCCGGCCGACGAGAAGACGGTCGAGATCAACGAGCTCGACACGGCGACGCGCGACCAGTTGCGCAAGAACAAGTACCCGTTCCGCACGACGGCGGCGTCGCACCAGAAGAAGGGCGGGAAGGCCAAGCAGGAGCGCAACATCGAGTACGACGTACTCGACAACCCGGAGCCTGCCGAGCACAAGCCCGTGGACTTTAAGGGCAAGATCTACGTCGGCCCGCTCACGACGGTCGGGAACCTCCCGTTCCGCCGCGTGCTCAAGCACTGGGGCGCCGACATCACGATCGGTGAGATGGCCATGGCCACCAACTTGCTCCAAGGCCAGGTACGTTCTCTGCTACAAGGAGCTCGACTATGATGACGCTCATAGGCGTCCGAGTGGGCGCTTCTGCGCCGCCACGAGTCGGAAGACGTCTTTGGCGTGCAGATCGCCGGGGCCTACGGCGACCAAATGGCGCGCGTCTGTGAGCTCATTACGCGCAAGGTACATGGCAGACGAATATGTTCTCTGTATGAATGGCACATGATAGACAAAAGTGGACTTCATCGACATCAACATGGGCTGCCCCATCGACCTTGGTAGCCCGTGGCATAAGCGGCAAGGAAGGGGCTCACGTATGTATACCTAGTGTGCAAGGCCGGTGGTGGTGCGGCGCTCATGAACCGCCCGCCGAAGCTCTACTCGGTCATCTCTGGCGCGTTGACTGGCATGGAGCTCGGCAGCTTTGGCCTACCGACGCGCCCGAGCCTCACGGTCAAGATGCGCGCCGGCTGGTCCGAGAAGACGCCGATCGCGCACAAGCTGCTGCCAAAAGTCCAGACTTCGATTTCAAGCAACGAGTTTATGAACCAAAGCGTCGTCCTCAACTACGCGCTCAAGACTGACGTGCACGTGAATGCGCTCACGGTACCCATACTCGCTGCCGATAGGATTCGATTTGTTTGACGGTGCTTTGACCAAGGTCCACGGCCGGTCGCGCCTCCAGCGCTACACCAAGAACGCCGACTGGGTCTACGTGGCCGAGTGCGCCGACACGCGCGGCGACGACAAGGCGATGCAGATGGTCGGCGGCGGTGACGTGCTCTCGTACGAAGAGTTCCACGAGCACCTTGCGTCGGGCCAGATCGACACGTGCATGCTCGCCCGGTACTGTTGCTGCTGCGAAAGACGACGGCTGGATGTATGCATCGACTAGTGGAGCACTCATCAAGCCGTGGCTGCCGACCGAGATCAAGGAGCGCCGTCACTATGACATCTCGTCGTCCGAGCGCCTTGACATTCTCAAGGACTTTGTCAAGTGCGGCCTCGAGCACTGGGGCTCGGACGCCAAGGGCATCAACCGCACGCGCCGCTACTTGCTCGAGTGGATGTCGTTCCTCTGTCGCTACGTGCCCGTTGGCATCCTCGAGCAGTTGCCCCAGCGCATCAACGACCGTCCGATGCCTTATGTACACGTGCTGCTTGCATGCCTCGTTCTCATACCCTTGTGGCTAGTATGGCCGCAACGACCTCGAGACGCTCATGGCGAGCGACCAAGCCGCCGACTGGGTCAAGATCTCGGAGATGCTGCTTGGCCCTGTCCCCGAGGTAGTGCGCTTCTTATAGCATGTTCGTCCTTTGCTCAGCCTCTGTATTCAGGGGTTCCAATTCGTGCCCAAGCACAAGGCCAACGCGTACGGCTAAGCATCGCACGGCCTCGTCATTAGCCCCTCTAATAGTCGCCGATAACCATGTGTATATGACTATACCTCATCCTCTTTGGCATGGCCATCATGGCGCCCAAGCGTGGCGGAAGCCCACCCAGGCCAAAGCACCGTCCGCTGCGGGGCAGGCGGCTCGGCTGCGGTCATCCGCGCTGTCGCTCACCAACTATCAAGCCATGACCGTATTTTATTCTTTACAAAAAGCAAGACAAATGTAATAAAAAAAGTGGTATACAAATGCCAAGGTCTATTTCTGGCGTGATTGAACGGGGTGCAGTGGTTCAAAAACATCATCCTCGGGCGCAGGACGACGATGGCCAAGAAGATCGAAGAGAGCTCAAGCGGGGAGAGCGGTAGCGAAAGCGAGAGCGGGTCGGGCTCCGGCTCGGGCAGCGACTCGGGCTCGGGCAGCGGCAGTGGGTCCGGCTCCGACAGCGACAGCGACAGCGGGTCGGGCTCCGGGTCGGGTTCCGACTCGGGCTCCGGCTCGGGTAGCGACAGCGGAAGTGACAGCGAAGGCGAGAAAAAGAAGGACAAGTCGCCCGCCAAGGCCAAGAAAGAGCCTGCGAAGGCAGCTGCGAAGAAGTCGCCACAGAAGGCCAAGGCGAAGAAGGCCGCGGGAAAGGCTGACGCGGCAGTCGACGAATCCAAGATGGAAGAGATCGACCCCGAGAAGCTCAAGGGTCTCAACGAAGTCGAGAAGGAAGCGCTCATCTTGTACATGATGCGAAGACGATGCAGGGTGTATACTAACATGGCTTGCGCAGGGAGCACTACGAGTCGCAGACGCAAAAGTCCAAGGAGATCGCGCTCAAGCGCAAGCTCGAGAGTGAGAAGGAAGCCCTTGACGACGACAACGAAGCGATCTCGAACCGACGACTGCGCAACCGCGATACCGACCGTCGCAAGGAGGCTCTCTCGAACTTAAAGCAGATCAAGCAGACGGAGAAGGGCGGCAAGTCAATCCTTCGCAACCGCTTCAAGGACGACGACGAAGACGACGACGGGTTCCGCTCGGACGGGTCGGACGCTGGCCGCGAGATTGCGGAGAAGCGACGCCGTCGTAAGGAGCTGCAGCAGACGGGCAGCCACAAGGACGAGTCGCGGTCCTCGGACAAGAAGGCGTCCAAGAAGGCGTCGACGGACGAGGTCAAGCTCCAGGAGATTGACGTCTCGGGCCCCATCGACCTCAAATATGCCAACTCGGTACGACCTCGTGCGACGCTCGTGTAGTGACGATGCTGCGTGTAGTGCCTCCACAAGCGCCGCCAGTTTTTCGAGAAGCACTACTTTGAGCCATACTTTGAGAAGATCATCAAGGGCGTCTACTGCAAGGTGGCGCTTGCGGGCGAGGACGACGAGCGCGTGTACCGTTTCTGCCAAGTGCAGCACACGTGCAAGATGGACAAGGAGTACATGTTCATGGGCGAGGCGACCAAGACGGGCGTCATGCTCGCGTACGGCAAGGACACGCGCGCGTGGCGCCTCGACCTCATCTCGAACCACTCGGTGACCGAGCGCGAGTTCCTCCTCTGGAAGTACACGGTGCAAAAGGTGAACCTCCCGATCATGACGCAGATGCAAGCCAAGAAGTTCTACGCGGTCAACAAGGCAATCGCGACGATGCACAAGTACAATGACGAGCAGGTGACGACGATGGTGACGCGCAAGAAGGCGGCGGGTCAGACCAAGGTCGCCCTCGGCGTCGAGCGTGTCCGCCTCGAACGCGACGTCAAGGCCGCCAAGAACAGCAACGACTTTGAGAAGGCGCTGGCTCTTGAGGACCGCCTCAACAAGGTCTTGGCCGAAAACAAGAGCCGTCTCGCGGTCAAGGCCGACGAGGTCCAGCGCATCAACGAGATCAACAAGCGGAACCGCGAGATCAACCAGCGCCGTGACTTGGACGCTGCGGTCACCAATCAGCAGCAGATGGACAACATGACGGCGGCGCAAAAGCTGCAGTATGTCCGCGCGACGGCGTCCCGACGCATGTTCATGTCGCGCGACAAGATGGAGAAGAACCTTGCCGACGGCAAGCTCCTTCGCATGCCCGATGGTCGCATCATGACCGTCAACAAGCTCCAGGAGGTCGAGGCGCTCCCGGATGACATGATCCCGGAAACGAAGGCCAAGAAGCAAGACGGCGGCCACGCCGAGCTTGTCGAGAAGATCAAGGAGCGTCAGGCGCGCGCGCTCGAAGACGAGTCCAAGCCCGACGAGGCGATGGCGAACGACATTGAGTTTGTCGATGGCCAGCCCGTTGACGTCACAGATGTGGCCAACCTCACGATTCGCTACAAGGACGACGACGGGACGTGGACGACGATGCGGCCGGCCGCTGAGATTCTCAAGGAGAAGGAGGCCAAGATCCGCCCTGTGATTCCGGAAGCCGAGAAGGTCCAGCGCAAGGGCCTCACGATGAAAGAGTATTTTGAACGCGTCAAGCGCCGTGCAGCCGAAGACGGCCAAGGCGACAACAAGCACCCGCGGCACAGTTAGACGCCTTGACTCTGCCACATATTCTGCATTGCACCATAGCGTCTATCATCTAATGCGCTTGGTCTGTATTGTTGCCTGTCGATACACCCGTCGTGGAATCGAAAGCACGTCGACGTGATCGACTTTCTCGGGTACACGTATCATCAAGACGTGGCGCCAGCCTCATTGTCAAAAGTACCAAGTTGGTGCAAATTCTTCCCAGCCCTGCCCTCTTCCGTAGTATTCACTGCCGCATGGACGTTTGATTCCATTTCGATTTGCCTTCAGATGACAACTGACAAACCGAACCCTATCCATCAATAGTCACATCAAAAGTCCGCAAAATGAAGGACGGACATACCGGTATGCAGGGAAGAGTCGAGGGCAACGCAAAAAATCACTTGGGACGCATGAACTCGTGAGATTGGCGCAAAAAATAGTCCAACGTTAGAATTCTAGAACAGATTTCGAGCGTGCAAGATGGCTCGGAGGTCCATTTACCCTGTGCCTGCCGCCTGGGTGCGGATCTTTCGCCCAGTGAGTGGTTTGCGATGCTTGCGCCTTTGCATCTCTCAACTGTCTCTCATGCTACGCGTGGAACCCCACGATGCGTCACTGTCGACTTTGGTGGGGGTAGTAGCGCGCCTCAAATCTCGTTTTTGCCAGGGTCGTCACATGGCGGGCCGCTGCAGAGTGTTCGTCCATGCTAAAGCCAAAATAGACAGTTTTGTTGTCCTGGATCACCGCAGCCGAGCGAAACAAGATCGCAACGAGTGGTTGGCACGGGCAGCAACGCGAAACCGAAACCTCGACTTTCGCGGCGTAAGACAGCTTGTACACACGCGTAGGAATGATAACGACTGAGAATACTGGTCGCTCCCTGGCACATATGTTGTATTATGTTCGTCATTGCTCCACGAGGGCTATTGACGATGTCGCTGGCCTGCAATTGAAACCCAACCCTCACAGTCAAACTGCCGATAGAGTTGCGGGCAGGGTGGAGAGACGACCTAGAATTATGTTATTTGGGTCGAGAGCATGCTAAGCTTTTGCCTTTGAGCATAAACGACCATGGTCTTTTCGCACTAAATGGCTACACGTCAGAACTACTACCTAGTAGACTGCTAAGACGCTAAGTCTAAGTATTGCATAGACGTATTGCATGCTTCCCGCAAGCCACTTCAGTTGCGTGTGGCTAGACTTCAACTTGCCTCTGATTGGCGAATTGGCATTTGCATCCAAGATATGCTCAAGCTGCGCCGGTGCTTCACGACGGACGCCGCAACGAGCGCGCTCCACACGCTCTTCGCCTCGGTGGCGGCTCAAGAGGTACGTAGTTTGCCAATGATTATGGCGGCGCCAACAAAAGCGAGCAGATGTCGGCGGACGACGCGATGGTGCAGTGGCGACACGTCGAGTACGATGTGCTCGAGGCCTTTGCCAAGCTCGACGGGCAGCGTTCGGCGCGAACGGGATTTCCTGAAGTCGTTTACGCCGAGGGCAAAACGTCTTCCCAAGTCGCTTCGATCCTCCGAGCGATGCAAAAGTCCACGGACGTGGTCATGGCCACGCGCGTGAGTGCTTCGATGGCCGCCGACGTCCTTTCTGAGCCCGGCCTCGAGGTACCGCCGTCTCTCTTCCATTCATGCTCATGTCTTGTCTTGAAGAGCCTCGAATACAACGCGGTCGCTCGCATTTTGGCCAAGCCCATCGAGGCGACCCGCCCGCCTCTCAACAAGGTCGTCGCTAAGATCGTAGGCGGACAGATGCGACCTCTTCCAAGTTAGATCGTATGCGTCTTGTGCGCCGGAACATCTGACTTGCCCGTCGCCGAGGAGGCAGCCGTGACGCTAGGTACATCATCCTCATCACGTCTGCCCACCAACGATATGCATGCACAGAGCTCGCGGGGCTCGACGTGCGGCGCATCTATGACGTGGGCGTAGCCGGCTTGCACCGCCTCTTGCGCCACCGCCGCGCGGTCGAGGACGGCGACGTCATCATCGTCGTGGCCGGCATGGATGGCGCCCTTCCGGGTGTCGTCGTACGTCATCTGGTCCAATCCAACATGGCCGGAAGAGTAAGTTTTCTTGTCGTAGGGAGGGCTGACGACCAAGCCGATCATCGCCGTGCCCACCAGCGTCGGGTGCACCTGCAACATGTATCCTTCTTGAATTCTCAAGGAATATGATTAGGTATGGCGCGGCATTTGCGGGTCTGGCGCCGCTACTAACCATGCTCAACGCGTGCTCGCCGGGCGTCGGCGTGGTCAACATCGACAACGGTTTTGGCGCTGCCGTCCTCGCCCGTACGTGCGACATGCTAGTGTATTTCATACCCTTTGGGAACACCTCTAGATCGCATCGTCGCGGCGCACCCCAAGACAACGTCAACGACATGAATGACTACCATTGATGGTGTTTACAAAGCAAAAACGTCTCGTATATACAAATACAAGGACAGGTCGGCTCAGTGCGAGAAGATGTCGGGCATACGCGACCCCGCAAACGTGTTGAGGTAGGCGTACGCATGGCGCGGGGGCGCGGGGGGCTGTTGACGGTGGTCGACGAGCGGCGCCGCGCCCGGTCGTCCGATCGGACAGAACGAGTCAAAGCAGGTAGGAAAATGCGACGCGAGGTCGTCGGGCTTGAACGGACCGAGGCCGCACAAGATGCAGTGGTTCGTGCTCGGAAGGGCCGCAGCCGTCGGCGAGTGGACAACGGGGCAGCTAATGTCGCCGATCTGGATCGTCGAAGGCGGGGCTTGGAGGGACTTGGTCATTTTGAAAACTGAGCTCCACTGGCGTGGTCAAGATCCTCGAACGTGGCTTCTCATTGGCTGGATTTTAGTCGACGGCGATGTGTGATTGGCTGGATTTACAAGCCGGGTGCACTGAGGCGACAGAACGAACACGGCTGTGATAAAAGCGCTACCGCCGATTGGCGCTGCCATCGCCGTGGCGGCGGAACAAGACGTACCGTGCTTGCGCCAGCTCATCGTCCGCCGCATGTCTCGGACCGTGGCGGCTCGTATCTGAATGCCAACCGGTATGGTCGCCTTCGTCGTCAACACAAAGCGACCCTGCTGTCCTCTCGCGATCGCACTGTACGAGTTTCTGGCCTGACGCGCTTCTCAGTCGCTTCTCATTCAAATATCTTGACAGAAAGAACCGACATCGGAACGGGATCTCCAAGACCTTTGCTTCCGAAGCAGGCCCAGAATCTAGGGCAAGCGTGCGTAGTTGAAGCAAGCATTTCGTTGCGAGCTGCTCCATCGCAAAGCCTATCTTAATTTCGGAAAATACTATTTGAGGACAGTAACAAACCGCTGCTGTACTATGAATCTTGGTGGTTCGATTCCATAAACGCAAGATTCATTCGCAGTACGTGGCGCCACGGCAGCGAATCTCGCGTGAAACTGCAGTCGCTTCAGCCGCCGCCGATGCGACGCACTCGCCAGGATGCTCCGTCGCCTCCACACGCACGGCCAGCGCCACGCGCTGCGGCGCTTGGAGCACGCAATGCACAGCGACCGTTGGCTGCTGGTCCACCCCCAGCACACGCTCGAGCCCGCGCCTCGTGATGCACTTCGAACGAAAATGCTCCTTGCGGTGCTCGGTCTTGGCGCGCTGCATACGACGCTGAGTCTCGATAACGACGTGCCGCCTCTGTGGACCACCGACGCCGGACCAGGTCTCGTTTTACTATCGCCCACCAAGCCGTCGATCTTGATCGTCAACGACAACCTCCCGACCAACGTCAACGGCGTTGTGACGTTCCTTGCCAATATGGAGCGCCACGCGTCTGCGTACAGCGTCTCGTACTTGAACCCGTCGCAGTTCCCGCACATCGACTGCCCGGGGTACCCGGACATCAAGCTCTCGCTGCCCTTCCGCCTGGTATCCAAGCTCCGGAGCCATCGACCTGACTTTATTCACATTGCCACCGAAGGCCCGCTGGGTCTCGCGACACGACTCTACTGCGACTTGAACCGGATTCCGTACAACAGTGCGTACCACACGCGCATTCCCGAGTACATGGAGGTCGTCTTTGGCGTCCCGGAAGCGATTGGGTACGCGTACCTTCGCTGGTTCCACCGCAACTCGGCCGCTGTGCTCACCACGACTGATACCATGGTGCATGAGCTGCGTCGGCGCGGCTTTAAAAGCCTGATCCAGCCCATGAAGTTTGGTGTCGACCGACGCCTCTTTCGCCCGACCATACGCCGAGCACGCGAGACGACAACCGCCCACGGACCGATCCTGCTGAGCGTTGGCCGCGTCAGTAAAGAGAAGGGCCTCGACGCCTTCTGCGACCTCGACTACCCCGGCGCAACCAAGATTGTCGTTGGCGACGGTCCGTACCGCAGTGAACTCGAGGCGCGGTACCCCGAGATCCAATTTGTGGGTCTGCAGACTGGCGAAGCGCTCGCCGAGTACTATGCCAACGCCGACGTCCTCGTCTTTACGAGTCGCACCGACACGTTTGGCCTCGTCATGATCGAGAGCTTGGCGTGCGGTACACCGGTCGCTGCGTTCCCGGTGCCGGGACCGTTGGACGCGATCGAGTGTGGCGTCACGGGCCATTTGAGCGAGGACCTTCGCGCCAGCATCGACGTTTGCTTGGGTTTGGACCGAGCGGCGGTGGCGACGGCCAGCGAAGTGTGGTCGTGGGAGCACTGCTGGGCGACGTTTGAGAAGCACTTGGTGCGATCGAACCTTTCGGAGTAGAAAGCGTTGAGCAGTTGTTGATTGATGTGTATTCAGTATGTAAACCAGTCCACTACGTTTTGCATGTGTTCCCGTGGGTCCCTCCACGTTTCGTAATTTTCGTGTTGGCTGCAAGATCACAATCGGCATCGAAAGACGTGCAGGTGGATACGGGTATACTGAGCAACCCGCTAGGGGCAGAAGTGCACCACTCGACGCGCTTAACGACGTCAAAACGGACGGGTGTGCCAACCACAAGGCTGGTGGTCACCGCCTGCAAAACTCCCGTCTCTGGCCTTAGCGCAAGTGGCTTTTGTTCGGAGTTGGCAGCTACAGTTAGCTCTGCTAATATGCTCCGCAAGCCGATGCGAGATTGCACCGATCGGTCGCACGCATTCCCCGCCAGTTACGTGGTCACTATAGACCGAAAGGATTCCCTTCCATTCTTGGCTTGCCCCGCTGGACTCACCTGTCGTCCGCTCCTCGCTCCGCTGACCACAGAGTGCAAAGTGTGCTGGGTCATGCATTCTCTATCGCTTACCGATCTCGTCTCTTCGATCCATGAGCTCTTACGCTAAGCGACGAGAATAGGCGCCCGCAGAGAGTGCAAGTACATGCATGGGACGACAAGCAGGTCAACAACGATTGCGGTTTGCACCACGAGACACTGGCTTGCATCGGAAGTCGAAGCGTAAGTGGGCCTTTCTGGCCCGAGCAGTCCTCGCATCAGCGCGATCAACGACCCACGTGTGCCCTTTGCCAAGCTATGTCGTCGAGGACCTCCGTCGTCAAAATGGCGAGGAGAAAGCGCCGAAATGAAAAAATGGGGTCGGTCACCATCGGTCTATCGCTCTTGGTTCGCAAATCGAAAGTTTATTGCATACTAAGATGATCGGCTGACGCAGCTCCACCCCAATAGCATGGCTTGGGTCCCCGATGGCGCCACTTTGGAGAGATGTGCAAGACGCGCGCACCATCGGTACGTGCACCGGTGACGCGGTGATCCAAGTGAACGCACTCCATTCTCATGAGCAACGACCTCTACCAATGCGAAGCACCTTTTTTGCAAACGCGCTGTCGTGACGCAGGACTGTGTAGTGCCACTCTGGGCGAAGATGGCGCCAACAAATCATTACGGAGGACGTGATGGTGCAGCGCTGAAACGAACGCCTTTCCCCGTTGGCGTGCACTACGTAGCAGTTGGCACTTGGCATTTGAGAACGTACATGGCGCCGCAACGCCTTGAGACCGCGTCCTGGTCACTGCAGCCAAGCTTCACCCCGCAGAAGAGGCCCGTGCTCTTGCTCGTCAACGACAGTCTTCCGACGGCAGTGAACGGCATCATGACAGTCATGCGCAGCCTCGAAGCCGCCGCGATTGGCGCTGGCTACGACGTCGTGCACCTCGACCCCACGCAGTTCCCACACCGAAGCTGTCCGCTCTACCCTGAGTTCAAACTCTCTTGGCCAGCGACGATTGGCGCCAAGATACGCGCCGCCAAACCCAGCTACATCCACATCGTGACCGAGGGGCCGCTCGGAGTCGCGGCCGCCCTCTATTGCATGTGGAACAACTTGGCCTTCAATAGTGCGTACCATACGCGTCTTCCCGAGTACACGGCTGCGCTTTCGGGTCTTCCGGAGTCCCTCTGCAACTACGTCGTTCAGGCGTACGTCCGCTGGTGCCACCGCGCGTCCCACTGCGTGCTTACGACAACGCCAGCGATGGCACACGCCCTCGCCTCCTACGGCCTGCAAGTGCCGATTGCCACCATGCCATTTGGTGTCGACCGACGCCTCTTTCGCCCGACCATACGCCGAGCACGCGAGACGACAACCGCCCACGGACCGATCCTGCTGAGCGTTGGCCGCGT